CCCCAAAACCCCAAAACCCCAAAACCCCAAAACCCCAAATCTATTAAAAATCTAAAATTTATTAAAATAATTAAAAAATGGAACAAAGTGCTCCCTCAGTAGCGTCAACATACCTCTACAAGCTTGCAGGAGGGGTCTTTAACACCTCTTGGCATCAGAGGTAAGCTCAAATGCCTCTAAAACACAATTTAACCTTCATTTTAGATATTTTGTATTTGATGCGATCAATAAGGAACTCTCTTATTATAAGAATGAGCGTGAGAAGAAAGCAAGAGGAGTCCTAAGTCTGTCAGGTGCCACTGTTTCTGAGATAGGTAAGTCCTAGCTTAGGCAACTAGGCTGGGCTTAGGGGTTTGGATGGAAGGTTTAGGGCTTATGAGGATTTTTCTGCTTAAAAGAGCTTTAGAGAATTTATGATAGGATATTTTTATATTACTGCCGTATTTGGAAAATGTAATTTTTGTTTGTTCCTAGTTTAATTTTACCTACTTAGCGACTTATAAGGATAAACCAAACGCGTTTTATATCAAAGCAAAGAGTAGCAAAAAGATGTACCTTGCAGGCAAATCTTATGAAGAAGCTCAGCTTTGGAGAGATAGAGTAATCTTACAGCTCACAGATGAGAGTAACAATACAGGTTTCTTCAACATGGAGAGTCATCCAGAGGCTACCTCTGATAAGCATTCTGAGTATACCTCTAGTTTCGTAAATAGCAGGAAAGGCTCTGAAATGAGTAGAATATTCAAAAGAGACTCTGATTCTTCGAATGAAGAATCAAAGCTTGATAAATCAGGACCTCAAGAAAGACTCTTTGAAATTGATGAGGAATGTCTAGGAGATGGTAATGATTGGGATGACCCAGATACCCAAAGGCATGAGTTTCCGGAAGAATTCAAAGCTATATCAAAGAAGTACCAAGATTTCCTCCTCGAACAAACTTCGGACTGGGCTGTGATAAAATATTCAAAGAATTTAAAAATATCTGCTTTAGATTATACACCAGGAAAATCTGTGTTCAAATTCTCAGAATTGAAGAATCTATTGGTGCCATGAGTTCTATGAACAGGGATATTCTTCTTGTTTAAAACCTACGCTGCACATCTCCCTCTCTTTGTGCTGTTCATAATACTTGGGCTAATTTGTTACTCAAAGAAGCCTAACTTCAGGAGCCTTACGAGTAGGAAGTCTAAATTATTGAGAGGGGTTACAACTATGCAGTGAAGTAGTTCTAATATTGCCAACTTCATAACGGATGTCAAAATCAGGAAGAAATACGACTCCATGCATGTCAACTTAGCTCATGCTTCTGATGATGGGCTCATCGAAGGAGCTTTCTTATGTATTGAGCATTTTAGACCTCCACCTCCAATGAGTGAGTATTATGACGGAAATGACCAGGTGAAACAAATCTTCTTGAAATTCAAATGTATGCATTACTCAGACGAAAGTTTAACTCATTTTATCATCAGAAAGGCTGAGAAATGGGATGAATGATTCATAATTATCCCATTCATCGAGAACCCTGATGAGAGTTTAGTGTATTACTACTCAGGTTTTGGTACTAAGCCTTCGCATTTGAAAGATTATGAGGACGACCATGAATATATCCAGTACTTACAGGAGAAAAGGTTCGATTTCTTGCATGATCTTAAACTTTACTGCAGCAAGCAATCTCGGGTGATCCATAAAGCTCGGGAGTCGAACACTTTAATCTCTCGTGTCCCATCAAAGTCCCTCACGGAGATGCTGGAAGAGTCAAAGAAGAGAGAAATGACTTTTGAAGAGCGCTCTAAAATCATTTGGAAAGAATTCGAGCATGAGCTCACCTCTGAGAGTATCATCGTTGGTAAAAATGAATGTGTCCCAATGGATCAAAGGTAATTTCTCAATTAAATTTTAGATTTCCTAATTACAACAGAATGAAGCAAGGCCATTTGTGGTGTAACGATAGTGATATTTTGAAGAACCAAAAAGGTATCCTCATCGACCTGGTTAAAAGAGCAGGCAAAAAATTGATGGAAGGGAAAGGAGTCGTCGCAGTCTCACTCCCTGTTAGACTCTTTGAAAGGAGATCAACAGTTGAAAGAATGTGTGATTTATGGTCTACAGGTCCTATCTTCCTTCTAGAGGCTGCAAGGAGTGATAATCCTGTTGAGAGGTTAAAGAAGTGCATCACTTTCTTCATTTCAGGTCTTCACATGAGCATCGAAATGAGGAAGCCGTTCAACCCTATTATTGGGGAAACTTTTGAAGCTTGCTGGCCAGATAATACTAAGATATATGTAGAGCATATCTCTCATCATCCTCCTATCAGTTCTTTCTTGGTGGAGCACCACAAAGGAATGTATAAGTACTATGGATCTTACGAGTACACTGCAAAACTGACTGATTTCGGGAATTCAGCCACAGGAAGACAGATTGGTAAGAACTACATCGAATTTCCTGATGGCACTAGGATCGATTATGAGTTCCCATACATGAAGATCGGAGGGCTTCTCTTTGGAAAGAGGACTATCAAATTCTCTGGGAAAGTGCAGTTTTCAGACCCAAAGAATCACCTTATTGGTCAGCTTGCGTTTAACTCTGAAGGAGGAATTTTTAAGAGGAAACAAGGCCCAGTTGACCAATTTACAGGGACAATTGAGAGAAATGGAACTGTTGTGAGGTAATTTTAAAAATTAATGAATAGCGAAATTGAAGGAAGCTGGCTTGAAAATATCTCATTTGATGGAAAAATCTACTGGCAATTAGATAAATGCCATATGATTAAACCTATAATTCCATCCAAATGCCTCCCATCAGATTGCAGGTTTAGGGAGGATTCAGTCGCCTTTGGTGAAGGGGACCTCGTATGGTCTCAGAAAGAGAAAGAAAGGCTAGAAGAGCTCCAAAGGGCTGACAGAAAGTTAAGGCAAGATCAGGCTAAGTTGAGGAGAAAGAAGAAGTCAAAGAGTAATTCATAATTTTCAATCATTTAAGATTTTACTGGGGTTTTGGGGTTTTGGGGTTTTGGGGTTTTGGGG